CCATGCACATTAAATAGTCACAAAATATTCCAATACGACTAGGTACAGTCAAAGTCACGATACTCGTTGACACACGCGGTTAATTCTTATTGGTTTACGCCCCCACATTAATGTTATAGTTTTTCTTTTTTCTTTTTTGATAATTACTACATGCTAAAAACTTGATTCTCTTTTGATTTAACTGTTTCAAATATATATAAATATAATTTTGTTTTTCAATTCAATTATTTATGAAAAATAAAATATCAGTTAAATATTATGGTGATATATGTATTATGTATTATTGTATGTTTATTTTGAATTCATATATATCAATTCTAAATGTTATAAATTATTGGGGGAATATAAAAATACAACTTTTGTAAAAATGCCACCATAAATTTCCCATTTTCAAAAATGGCACAAATCAAAGATATTTTAAACTTTAATCCTTAAAATTCTAAATTTTTAAAAAAGTTTTCACCTAACAAACCCTAAACCCCAAAAAGAAAATACTAACATAAGATAGTTAACTTAAATATAAATGATATTTTGAGTAAATATTATAATATTAACAATATTTTTGAAAACGTTTTAGAAATATGACATTTTTGAAAAATGGTATTTTTCAAAATTTCTCTATATTTTTTTTTTTAAAATTTGAAATATATTTAACGGATTAGAGCGGATATCCGTGAATATCTAAAAGAATGGATATCCAAAAAAGTTCGCATCGGATCGGATCATAAAAACAAAGATTCAGACTAGGCGGAGTGGATCACGGATATTGGACTATTTCAGGATATCTGATCCTCACCTAGGTCTGATGTCTGTACCTTTATAAATTGTAGTTTTTCTGAAAAAAATCGTTGTTGACAATTATATACCGTAGTTTTTAAATAACTATTGTTAAACTATATACATCATTCGAAGATTCACATGAGTAATTTTAGAAAAAAACAAAATCGGAATGAATAAGAAATATGTGATTGCAAAAAGGGTATACTTTTTTGAGATTACCTACCGTTTTTAGATCATGATTAGTATATAAAATGTTTTCAAACAAGAGAAAAAAAAATTAATTCTTACCTTCGTAGTTTTTTCCTTTCCGGTGTTGTACAAAAATATTTTCTTTAAATTATAGTAAAAAACTACAATTGTGAAAATTGATAAAACTGAATTTATCTAATTCACAAGTGTGGTAGATTTCATTTATCACATATTAGCTAATCAACTGATGACACGTAGATTTCAAACCAATAAGAAATCGTCTGATGAATCTCATATCAACATAATCCGAGAATCTCTATATTTGTCTAATATGATAACAACTTGCGCTTGATAGTACTAAACGGGGAGCGGATGTGCAATGGAAGATGACATACGCTCGCCTCTTAAGATTGTATGGGTTTCATTATTGTTTTAGGTTTGGTAATCATGCCAAACTCATAAGCAATGTAGCTTCTACGAAAAATCACCATGTGGCAGAATTACCACCTTAAGATTTGACGATCTAGTATCTGAACCTTAGAGAATTGAAATCGATGATGTGGTATACCTTTCAACTTAAAAGGTTTCAAAAATCAAGAGAATTGATTCAATTTTAAAAAAATCGATAAAAACACCACTAGTTTTAAGAGAGTAAACCATTTAGTGATCCCATTTTAGAGGACACACAGTTTTTAGATCATGATTAGTATATAAAATGTTTTCAAACAAGAAAAAAAAAGTTCTTACCTTTGTAGTTTCTTCCTTTCCGGTGTTGTACAAAATATTTTCTTTAAATTTTGGTAAAAAACTACAATTGTGAAAATTGATAAAACTGAATTTATCTAATTCACAAGTGGGGTAGATTTCATTTATCATGTATTAGCTAATCAACTGATGACACGTAGATGTCAAGCCAATAAAAAATCGTCTGATGAATCTCGTATCAACTTTATCCGAGAATATCACTATTTGTCTTATATGGCAATAACTTGCACTTCGTATTACCAAACGGGGAGAGGATGTGCAATGGAAGATGACATACGCTCGCCTCTTAAGATTGTATGGGTTTCATTGTTTTAGGTTCGGTAATCATGCCAAACTCATAAGCCATGTAGTTTCTACGGAAAATCACCATGTTGCATAATAACTATCTAGTATCTGAACCTTAGAGAATTGAAATCGATGATATGGTATGTTGGTTTTCTTCCTAGTGGGGAAACCAATTTGGGTTTGGTTTAAGAAAAACCAAATGTGGGCCTATTATGATACATGAGATTGTTATTGGGTTAAGGATTATGAGAGAGTATATATATGACTTCAAAACCTCATTTTGGTGAAAGAGAGAAACAAATTGAAGAGAGACAATTTTCGTAGGAGAAAAACAGTTTCGTCAGGGTTTATTCAAGAGAATGTTTGGAGCCTTATACGTGCTCCGATTTGGCTGAACTTTTTTGGTTAGCTTCGTGACTCAGTGGTCTTGATATTCAACGGTGGAGATTGTATTTTAACGGTTGGTTCGTCGCAGATCTGGGTTTTAGCGAGGCTGTTCGCTGCAGTTGCGAGTTCAGATTTCAGACTGTGTTGTCTTGAGTGTTTGAGAAATCCGACGGTGAATTCTTCTTGGATTGAGCTGAAATTTGGCAGAGGTATTCCTAACTTGTTGATATAGGAATTGTATGGTGGAGATCTGATTTGGTGACCAGAATCCTAGTGAATTTTTGGTCTTTTGAGACTGCTTGTTTCTAGGCTCTTGTATTGCTCTCTTGTGGTATTTCTTGTGTTGGAGATTGTTCTTTGGAGCCTTAGTCTCTGGATCTGTTCTATGGGAACAGGGAGGACGTGGTTGTAATTCAAATTTGATATAGTAGATTTTTAAGTGGACTACGGTCCCGTGGTTTTTACTCCTCACATCGAGAAGGTTTTTCACGTAAAATAATTCGTTGTCTCATTTACTTTACTGCTTTGATTTACTGCTGCCGTATTATATATTTTTCTCATAGGTTCACATAAGTGTGGGAAATTTATTCCGCTGCGCCATTGATGCTTATTTTTTTTCCAACAGAGTGGTATCAGAGTTTTGTGTTTTGATAACTTTGGTTATTGGTTGTTTGCTTTTGTGAGCGATGGAAAATATGGGCAGGATTATCAGCTTGGATGGTTCTAATTATCATATTTGGAAAGGCAAGATGCAAGATCTCCTTTATGTGAAGGAGCTTCATGTTCCAGTCTTCGAGGAGAAGAAACCTGAGGATAAAACTGAAGATCAATGGAAGTTGCTACATCGCCAAGTGTGTGGTTTGATAAGGCAATGGGTAGATGATAATGTGAGGAATCATATTGAAAATGAGACCGATGCTCGTTCTTTGTGGTTGAAGCTAGAGCAGATGTGATGCAGCGTAGAATTAGGATAATTCTCTTTTATTTATATTTTAATTATATTATTTATTTTGGTGTTTATCTCTTAGAGTTTCTAGAATATTCCAGAGCTTTCTTAGGGTTTTTAGGATTTCTTATAAATAAACCCTAGAGGCCTCCTTTTGTATTCAGTTGATTGATTAATAAAATTATAGAGCTTTGTGCTTTTCAGAGAAGAGTATTCTCGAACCCTTGTTTTCGGTAGATCCAGGGAGATCTCAACGAATCCAGGAAGGCATTGATCTTAGGTATCCTCAAACTAAATAAGATCCTTGCATCTATCTAGCTTCCGCTACGTCAGTTGGTATCAGAGCCAGGTTCTTTGGTTTCTCAATCAAAGACGATTCTTGTTATCATGGTGAGTGATAGTAACATCTATCCTTTCGAGGTCGAAAGTCCTTTTGTCGAGAGAGAAGAGACCCATGAGATCTACAAAGAGATTCATGGCGATCCTATCTTCGATATCTATGAAGAAGATGTCATGGTTTCGACTTTGTCTTTCGAGAAGATGATTTTGAAAATCTGACACGTGCAAAATCTGGGCGGAATCGGATCTTTCTAGAAGACGTGCAAATTCCGATCTGTGCAGGATCAATGCGCTATCAGATCTGTCCAGTAGGCGTGCAAAAGTCAGTTCGTGCGATTTTTGGGTTTCATCAGATTTCTGAAATTTCTCTGAAGAATCAGATCTGTACGAAAACTAGGTCAAATCAAGTTCGTGCAAATTTAGGGTTTTACCAGAAGCAATATGAAGATCATGCTGAGAAGATCTATTTGGTGCCAAGAACGCTATTGAAGATTCGANGNCGAATCTTTCTTGGCCGGCGAGACCTGATGCAACGCATAATTGGAT